CAAGGCCAGCCTGGTCTACAGAGCGAGTTCTTCCAGAACTATCACTCAGTCCAGCAATGAGTTCATTCATGTCCTCGCTCAGCGACATCTTTGGATTCTTATTCATCATACATGTTAACACAGACCACGCTATCAGTTAGGAGTTGCTTTAGTACTATATTCCTTCATTATTATCATAGTTTATCATTCTATGTGTTTGTGTATAAGTGTGTGTGTGTGTGTGTGTAAAAATGAATAAAATTCTTGAGCTAGAATTGGTTACATGGAATTCACAATGAATTACTCTGTATTTTATGTCCTTAGAAAGGACAGGTTACATGCCTTTGTTGTCACTGAAGTTTATGAACCTAACTATTAAACACTGACTAACTCCCCTCTGACTGTGATGCACCTCAGACAGAACGGATACTATTAAAAAAAAAAGTGATCTTTCTACCTCTCCTGATGCCAACCATACATCCCAAATATATATACATTATGATAGCAATTTCCAGAATCTAAAATGATGAAACCATAAGGTGTTCTACCTAAGGCTCAAATTTCCATATAACCCAAAGAGATAAAAATTCTGTCGTGAAATCTTGAAACTAGTATCTTAAAAAAAAAAACGACGACTCACTATGAAAAGAAACAGAAGACAGACAAGAGGATGGACAGTGGAAGATGGGTAGAAGTCTTGCCCTTAACAAAAACAAAAACTGCGGCGAACTCCCTGATATTGGAGCCTCTTGGTTGAAGGAAGAGCACGAAGCTAGCCCCCCCCNGGGGCCCTGAGCGCTGAGCTGCAACTGCCTATATAGGGACTAGGGGTACGTGCAGGCCTCCTATTGGTCAAAGTGTCTCAGCAGCCATTCCAAGCTCTCTGATAGGTCTGGCACACTGTGGACACTGAGCATGCCCGAGATGGTAGTACCGGCTATGACCTTATATGGAATTGTTTATCCCAAGCCTGCAGGGGCCCGGGGCCATCTTGTAATGGCGGCTGCAAAAGCTGGCTCCTTGCAGTGAGCATGCTCGAGTTAGTGATTCTGGCTAAGATCTTATATGGAGTTGTTTACTCCGGCCCTGCAGGAGCCAGGCGCCATCTTGTAATGGCGGCTGCATGTACTGGCTCCCTGCAAAAGACAAAAACAGCTTCCCCTTCAATTGTAATTTCTAGGCCATAATGTGTTCTTGGCAGGGATGCTACACAAACTGGACACCTAAATTCTCATTACACTGTGCTTGTACTCAACCTTCATTCTTTCAATTAACAGCATTTCAGTCACTGCAGCCCTTCGAGCGCCCCACTAGCTTACAAAGTGCCTTTGTTATTGGAGGTGCTAAGGCACATTTATTTGCCCAAGTCACCTAAAGTCCCAGTGCTTGAAGGACATGATGCCCACTGTGGCCATTCTCTTCCAGGCCCCCTTTGCTACCTCCACCCTACCAATAGGCACTGGGGTATGAGGTAATGTGGTGACATAGGATGCCAATCTGCCCTTGCTGCAGGCTGCCGATATTCCACTCCAGTCCTAGAGAAGCGGTGACCATTCTGGCCCTGTCCTTGTTCTATAAATGGTCCATACTGCTGCCACTTGTGAGGTTCTCTCTCACAGTATGAGAGAATGGGAACCTAGCCCTTCATCATCTGACAGAATTTTAGGGCCAGGATTCAGAAGCCTGAACTTGGATGTACCTTTCAAAGTTTATTGCAGGCAAACTGGCCTGTGTCTTTGGTTTGAAGCACCATTCCAGAGACTCACTAAAGACCTGGCAGGCCACAAGACAAAACGCAACACAAACCTTGAGATTTCCAGCTCGAGTTCACAAAAATGTCGATTTATCAAATTTTAAATTAAGATTTTTTCCAATTCACATGTAAACACAAAATTTTGAAAAACTTTCAGTATCATTAGAAAAGTCAGACACTATATGCTCTAACATTTATTTACAGTTAATAAGTTAAAAAGCAACACACAACCAAATTGTAAATCTCATTCATATGCACATTAACTGTTCAGGGAAACACTTCAGTTCCATTACAAGCAATTGCTTTCTAATGCACTTAAGACATAACAGTTTATCAAAAAATATCTGAACACACCAATAAAGGAAATGTTATGTATGTTCATTAAAAATCACTGATTTAAAGAATGCCGTAGCAACCCTTAAAACAAAAAAAAATCCTTTAAGTTCAAAATTGTGATTTGTTTGTATTCAAATATTTTTAAAGTTTTTTATAAAGTTTTTTTGAAAAATAGTAGTATTATGTACACATGGCAAATCAATAGATATGAGCTACCAGCTTAAGTTACTCTTGTCTAAGAGTACCGGGACGCGAAATAAATAGGCACCACCAAAAATGAAGCTTGCCCCCAGGGAGGGACATTGTCATTGGGTGACAGGGAGGAGGATGCAAATGGCCAGGTGACCTGAGGTGCAGGTCACCAGGACTAGGAACTCAAACGTCAAAAGCTAAATAAAAGCTTAGCAAGGCGAGGCATTTCCTCCCAGCTGACCTCTCTACTTGTGCCCCGTGAGGTCTTTTAAAACCATGCACAAACCAAGCTAGAGTCTTTCCAGGACAAAATCCAGGCTTCACCTTAAAGGCCACAGGGCCAAGTTTCTTTACACAGCCCATTCAAAGGTACCCAGGAAATACCCTCACTTCCTTATAACAGACTCCCCAATTACATTAGATGTGTCTTCATAGTTTTTCAAAGTTATAACACGGGTTTTGTTGCAGAGAATTTAGTAAGATAAAGGTTGTATTTCTGAATCACATCAAACTCAGGATAGGCAACCAGATCCAAACACAGATCAAAGAGCCAAAGAATGACCTTCTGAATAAGGTCAAGTGCACTAAAGAATCAAGGCGTCAGAGAAACAAATGTCAAAGACCTCAGTAAAAATAAATGCATGGTGTAACTGGTTATACGCCCATTGCGTGCTGAGGAAAATTATCTCTCAGCCACCTCAGGTTTCAGAAGCCTCTGGGAAGCATCTAGATAAATTCCATGTTGAAATTACATTCTAATATGGCCATTGGATTTATTTCGTGTTATAAAACTATATACAAGTGGAGTGGTACAAATACATTTTCAACAGGTGCTAGTGAGCTATAAAAGTTAATAACTTTTTGGGAAGAAAATCCTATGTATCTGAAATACATTTGGCAATGGAAGCTAATAACCAAGACTGTCTCAGCTTCCCATGACACAACACTCTCCCTCTGATAATTATTCACTTGTGAACTCAAGTAACGGTGCTTCTAACAATGTATTACCATTGAGCAGTGAATAAAAGATTGAGGCTTGTGGAAAACTGGCATAAAGTCATATATGTATATATAGTATATGTGTATATATATATATATATATCTTACAAAACAAAATGTGAAAATTAAAGTCAGAACACTCCTTTCATGAACTATTAAACTTAAATAGTAAATTCAGAAAGCTATGCCATTGAATTCTAGGAACACGTGAGTCAACTGCAGCGCTCACTATTCTAGGCATCTGCCAAGCAGAGATAAACCTTAGCACTGAGAGCTTCACAAGGCCCAGCCCAGTGTGGATGTCCCACGGCAGAACACTTAAATCGGAAATAATAGTGGTAGAAAAACACTATTTGACCCTTTAGGTATTGCAGAAAAAGTTGGCTGTGGCATCACTGGCTAAACTACCAAGTCTTGCTGCCACCAATGACCAAAGGCACTTGGATAATCAAGAACTCCATTCTGGGCCATATGGTATACTTGCTATTATTATAAAAGTGTACAAGAAGGGTCAGTACTGTGTGGCTCGATATTTTGATTCCTATGACTTTTAGCTATCAAAGACTGCAAACACAATTATGAATGGAAATAAGAGAAAAAGAAATTTCATAGACAAAGAGTGAACCAATTGTGATGATTTTCAAAAGGACAATACTATTAGTTTAGACTTTTCTTGTTACCCAACAAGAAAGACATAAAGAAATCTATTTTTCCCCCAAACAACTTCACCCAGCTGTGTGGTACCAAGAAACGCCCTGCCCCTCCCTATAGGTCATTCGCAGTTCCAGGAATTCTAACGGGTATTCTGTTTATTCACAATGTCCACATGCACTGATCTCTCCTAAGCAACTTCCACCTTAATTCTCTTTCCATTAACAGTCCTGAATTCTTATTAGACCAGGACGTGAGGCCAAACAACCTCCAACTGGATTCCAGTTATTCTTGTGGCCAACATAGTCTTCAAAATTTATTCACTTTTTAATCACAAGTCATGTGGTTCCAAAACACTTCAATTTTATTCAATTAAAAAGAACAAGTAAGTCAACTTTTCCTAAACAAAACTTTTAAAGAATATTCTACCATTTTCTTTAGGAGCTCAGTAAATATAAATATGAAATTTCAATATAAAACTTTATATATAACCACCTTAACATTTTTTTAAACAGTTGTACTTTGCATCTTCGTAATCACTGAGCTCATGAATTTCAAAGTCATACAAATCCTCATATTAACAGTCATAAACTTGAACCTCTTAAAAGACAACCTTGATCATCAAAGCTTTGGAATCCAGTAAAAATTAGCAAACGAGTGGGCTTCAGAATACCCTGAGCGTACACCAGCACTCTATCACGAAACACAGTCCATCTTCCGTCCAGAAAGCGGGGCTGACAGTCACAAAAAGAAAACAGGAGAGGGGGAATAAAGAGCAAGTAAAATTCTGGCTGTATTACGTAAGCACGAAAACAAATCCCTTTGGAGAAAAAACAAAACAAACAAAATTCTCTTTTCTAAGTCTTCGGAGAACTTCCAGGCCGGTGAGGTAGAGTCCGAGAGGGGGGGTTTGCAGGTGTCCCTCCAGTTCTGGAGACGTCTCCATCCGGCGGGCTGGGAAGCAAGGGGTCCTGTGCCGCGAGTCCTGCTGTCCCGGGTAGCCGCGGGCGGGCGCGGGGCCGCACCTGTCCCGACGTCCGCGGACCGCCGCGCCGCGCCGCATCCGGGGGAGGGGGGCTTTGTTCGCGCGTAAAGTGCACCAAGGGGGCCGGTTCTGTAAACATACGACTGACAAGAGTCCGTTCCAGCGCCAAAGTTCGCTCGGTCGCTCGGTCGCTCGCTCGTTCGCTCGGGCGGCGGCCGGCAGGAGGCGCCACGGCGCGCGTCACGCCCGGGGCACCGGGAACCGGCGCAGCCTCACCACGGGCTCCAGGTCCACTCGGAGCACTTGGCGCGCCCTGCGCCGCGCCACCGCCAGGCTGCGCTCGCCCCACACGTCGTCGCCAACGCGGATGGTCGGGAAGCTCGTCAACGTCGGGGTGGCCGCCCTCCAGATCTCCTCCAGGGTGCGGCCCCCGAAGCAGGACGCGGGCGGCCCGGGATCGGCGGCGGCGGCGGTGTCGGAGACGGCGGCGGGGTGCGAGCTCAGGCTGCCCGCGGCGACCCGAGCTCCGCGGCGCCTCCTCCTGGGCGCGGCGCGCGGGCGCGGGCGGCGCGCGGGGCGGCCGGCGGGCGCCGGGGGGTCGGGCACGAGCGCCCGGCACGAGGAGTAGCCGTAGACGTCCTTGCTGCGCAGGATGTGCGGGGAGAACTGATGCTTGAGGCTGCAGAGGAAGCTCCAGAGCTCCGCTTCCGAGCTCATGAACTCCGTGCTGCTGGGCATGAAGAGCTTGAAGGCGTCGCCCAGCGCCTCCGTGCTGCCGGCCAGCGACAGTTGCGATCGCGAGTACACCACCTTCTCCTCCAGCGCCTCCAGCCCGGCGGCCCCTCCTTCCGCTCCGTAGCCGCCGCCCCAGGCGGCCCGGGGCCGGCGCCGCCGCCTCTTCACGCCGCGTCTCATCGGAGGCCGCTCGGGGCCGCCCGCCGTCCCCCGCCCGCGCCCCGGCTCCGCGGCGCTGCCCGCTGCTGGCGCCTCCCGCCCCGGCGCCGCTCGCTACTTTTTTTCTCGCCTCGCCGCCCCTCCCCCTCGGGGCGGAGGACGCGCTGGATGTCCTGCCGCCCGGCTCAAGATGGCGACGGCGGGCGCCCACCCCGGGGCTTTGTCATTGGACGGCGCCCGCCCCCTCCTCGGGCTTCCCTTTCTTCTCCTCTCTCGCCTCCTTTCGCCCTCCGCCTTTCTTTAAATGGGCCCGCCCCGGCCCCGCCCACCGCGGCCCCGGCTCCTCCCATTGGGTGCTCTCGGGAGGAGGGGCGGGGACTCGTGGAGGGGGTGGGTGATGGTGATGGCCCTGGGTTGGCCAGTCAACCATTGGGTGGGTTGGTTAGGTGGAGAGTGGGGTCCATGAGTTCCATGTTGAGGGGTGAAAGGGGTGGGTGTGCGGCCATGGAGGACTCTACCAGCCTGAATCACAAAGGCTTGGGTCTGGAGCTAGCGACATGGGCTTTCCACCAGTCCCTTCTCGGCCCCTTGGCATCCTCATGGTCTTGGCCTCTCTTGACCCCATCTTTCTTTCTCAAGAGAACAGTAAACATCCAGGCATCTGTGGCAGCTTCCTTCTGGGGAGTGGAGCCATCTTGGCATGGTTAGGAGACACCACCGGTCGTTGGGAAAGCAGAACCTACTGTATGGAACTAAGCAGTCTGCTCAAAGTTGGACAAAGAGCAATGAACGGCGACAAAGACATTCTGCTTAAAGAAAATACTCTTGTTTTAAATACACGCGTTATCACAGTGCCGTTTCATACTTCACTGGGCTTTAAATTGCCCATTTGGTCCACCATTGCTAACCTTAATGTAGGATTCCATATAATCGCTAAGATTCTATCGAGAAGTGTACATCCTTAAGAACGAGTTACCTTTTTTGTATGTGGGAGGAGAGTAGTGGACGTTCCTTTTATCAGTTTTTCTATCCCCATTGAACTCACTGCCTATTCCCATATTAGCCACTGAATGCGTACAGAATGAATGTGTGAAATAGCACTGGCTACTTGAAGTACAGAAATTGCTTAGAACAAGATAATTATATATTTTACATGTATATTGCCATCTTCTTTGAAGTCCTTTAAGCTTCATTATTCCTCATGCTGGGGATCAAACCCAGAGCCTCACACATCCTCAGACAGCAAGACTACTTCTCCAGTCCACAAGATTTCTTTTAAAAAGTTTAAGGATTTAATAAAATATGCCCTGGTACTTAAGCCTTCCTTCAGGCAGCGTTTTATTTTGTCGCAGACAGTGAATACAGAGCAGGACTTTAGTGACTTGCATACAGTCGGTCCTTTAAATGTTTGATCTGAGAGACACCTAGTTCAGTCTTCAGATGAGGAAGTTTAGACCACGCAGGTTCATTAATACAGCTTGCTATTAGCAGGGTGGGTGCTTAGGTCTTTGTGTTCCTAATCTAGAAGTCTTTATATCACTGGTGGTTTTTCCACACTGCCCTCTTCTAACTCAATAGAAATGCTGTATGTGTTTTCAGTGGAGTGGCCAGGGGACACCACTGTACCCCTGTTCATACTTCTCACCCACCACTGCAGTTTTAATCTGCCCTGTGGTGGGCACGGATATTATGTTTGTGCCACATAACTTTTGTTTAGTTTCAATTAAAAAAAAAGAAGAAGAAACTTGCTTTTTTATAACAAAGCCCATATGCCACACAATAGACTTATAGCAAAAAAATAAAATCTTTGGCCACGAATGAGTTCTCCATGTACCAAAACGATGGTAACTTTATAAGAGAAAATCATTTTCCTAGAAAAGCATAACTTGGTTCTCAGAACAAGAGCATAGAGACAATTACCAGCTTCCTAGCTCCTCATAAAAGCATTATGTTGCAACCACTGTATTCATAAGTAGTTCTCATAGTAATTCTGAGAACACATAATAATGTGAAATTTGAATGATTTCTATTGGGATACCAATAGAATACCAATTTCTGTGTAGGTGGACACGGACCATCTCTCAGTAAGCTAGTGGACTGGGGAGGGGAGGACGCCTAATGAGAGAATAGGACAAATTAGGGTACAACTCAAGACTCGTGCGGCTACGCTTACCCTACTACGTTCATTACAAACCCTTCAGGTCTTCACATTTAATATGTACCATGCATCTACACAAACATATCATTGATCCAACTAAGAAAATATTTTTTTTCAGAAAAACTATTAAAAAAAGGGAGATAAAAGATTTTTAACAAGTTATTGAGCAATCAAGAGTTAATTTTGTGAGTCAGTAAACAGAATTTAGCTAAAACTCTTTCTTATGGGATTTAGAACCGAATATGTTAAATGGCTTAAATTCTTTTACTTTTTAATTTAACTCAGTTTGAATATACATAAACTTATGTAATTGACTTCAATTAACAAAATGTGTTTTCAGCAAAATGTAAAAGTTCTAGGGACATACAGGTTTCGATAAGTTATTGATCAATCAAGAGTTTATTTTGTAAGGCAATGGAAATTAACTAAAACTATTAGGGAATTTAGGAACCAGTTTTGTGTTGAATGGCTTAAATTAATTTTACACTTTTTAATTTGGCTCTGAGCTCTAATTTTTCCTGCTTACGCTCCTGACCTCCACTTTTTGGTTTTTTGGTTAACTCCAGTAGTCCTTGCACAAATATCTCTTTACCCGTTCTTCTTAAGTGAGTAAAGTTTACACATAATGGCAATTTAATTCTAGTTCCTAAGACCCTATATGATTTATTGAAAGATGGCAAGTTAAGTTTTTATAATTGGTAAATGATAGTTTATAATCCTGAGTTTATTTCTTTACCTCTCAGGAATGATGTTTTATCTGACCAATGACAGATAAGAATAAGCTAAGTGTGTGTATCTGTTTTCTACATTAATAATTTATGTCATTAAAATTGAATCTAAATGAAATAAAGTCACTGGAGAAATCGGCAACAAATGTATTCTCTAGCTACCTTTATCTTTGATATCTTACTTATTTAAAATTGCTTCTTGAGTGGTTTTGAAAATAATAAAAATACATGTGTAAGCAATTACAAATATCAGCTCTGGGGAGTAATATAGACTTGGCCTCAAAAATATCTTTATAATTAGGAATTTTTGGAAACAACTTTTTACCTTTCTGAATCCAGTTTCTCATCTACAAAATGATATGTAACCCACACTTCAACAGAGGATTAGATAACACTCACATGGCATATGCTATAGTATCTGAAACACAGTTAAGCATTTATAAAACAATATTAAATGTTAGAAACAGCCATCCTTTTGTCTTACTTAAATTTGAGGATTTTATTTGGCTTAACCAACACTGTATCATAAGCCAGGCGTTGGGGGCACAGGTCTTTAATCCCAGCACTCGGGAGGCAGAGGCAGGCAGATCTCTGTGAGTTTGAGGCCACCCTGAGCTACAAGAGCTACTTCCAGGACAGGCTCCAAAGCTACAGAGAAACCCTGTCTCGAAAAAATAAAAAAATCTAGAAATGTGACGTAGGGGTGGGAAGGGGTTCTCTGTGAGGACATTTAAGGGATTAACTAACAGACTGAGCAGTCTTCATTATTCAGCTGGGGATACTGAGACACTAAGCGGTCTACCCAAGGACATAGAACAATCCATCAAGAGACTGGACTGAAGTCTTTGTCCAAACTGCTGGCGCAAAGTTGTTTCTAACATTCTAAATGTGTATTTAATTCAACGAACTAATATTAATTTTTTAAATTTAAATGATACTGAATATAGCATGATACATCAAGGAAAAATGTCCTTTCCTTATATTCATTTTAAAGTAATCTAGATTTTTCTACAAAGGTGATCTCAAAGCTCCCATGTGATTCAAAACTACTGAATGTATACTATATAAAGACCATATAGTCCAAGAAGATAGAACCCCATCTCCTAGGAAGATGGAAATTATGTAGTTTACTGATTGCTCCTGAGAACCCCAACTAAAGACTCTAGGCATAGCATATCGAATAAACATAAGAAGACTAGAAAGGAAAAAGCAGGCTCTCAGAGCCCAAAGAGGGGCGTGGCTCTCTGGGTTTCTTTTTCATACACATCTGAAAATGGGTGTAAGAGAGGCCAGCGGCTCAGAAATGCCCACAATTCAAGCATTAAAAACCTCAACAAAATCTTTCTAGCCGTGGGACCAGAGAAGGGCCAGCCTAGAAAGTAGAAAGTTTTCAGCTAGGAGGGGGGGGGAGGGAAAGGGAGAGAGGGGAGAGACAGGAGAGGAGAGGGGAGAGAGAGATGACAGAGAGAAATGACAGGAGAGAGAGAGAGAGGGAGGGAGGGAGGGAGGGAGGGAGGGAGGGAGAGAGAGAGAGAGAGAGAGAGAGAGAGAGAGAGAGAGAGAGAGAGAGAGAGGTCATAGATTGAAAAAGTATGACTTCTACCCTTGCAAGGCTATAAAAACAGAACCCCACCTTTCTGCATCTGTTTTCTGTAACCCACCATAATGCACCTCTTCTGGGGTGACATTACAGACATCTAGATAGGAAGAAGGACTTTCATTTTCACTAGATCATAGAAAAGGAATCTCTACTCACTGTCAATGAAGACAGGTGAAAACCAAAACCAAGACATAGGGCTGGAGAGATGGCTCAGTGCTTAAGGGAACTGACTGGTCTTCCATAGGATCTGGGTTCAATTCCCAGCACCCACATGGTAGATCACAACTGTCTGTAACTCCAGGAACCAACACCCTCACACAGACATACATATAGGCAAAACACTAATAAAATAATTTTTTTTAAAAAAAAAAAAAAAAACAAGACATTCACACCCACCCCTCATTATCCTAGTGAGAAGCCAGAATTCCCACCACCATCCATCCTTAATGAAGAGCCACATTCCCCCTCCTCAATGTGACTGGAAGCAGAATGAAAAACCTACTATTTTCTGCCAGTACTGAGGCAGCTCTGTCCTTTTGTTGGAATGGCTGTTGGGGAATATTGTTTTCATGTGTGTGACTTCTGTTTATGCTGCATTTATTTAACTCTGTGAAGCTGTGTTATTGTGCCTGTCTAAAACACCTGATGATCCTAATAAAGAGATGAATGGCCAATAGG